TTTTAGATTGTCATGGCATGAATGAAAGGCTAATCGACCATCAAAGGAAATAGAAACAGGCCACTACATAGATGTGAAATGTGATGAGTAAGCAACAAAATTCAACATCAAATGCAAGTTACCTTCTTGCTAAAGCCTTTTCTTTCTGCTTCACTTCCCGTGCTGCATTATCCCAAAAGAAACAGACGAGTGCAAGTTGTAATAGTCTACATGGGTCACAAGTTCAATCTCCTTGATATACCTCCTACTGCTGGTTAAGTTCAACTGCCATGGCAATCTTCCTCTCTTTGCTCTTCAATTCCTAGGATAATTTGAATAGTATAAATCACAAAACCATAATCACAGCTCAATTTCAAAATACAAGTGTGAGTGTGTGCTGGGGACCTTGAGGACTAATATTGGATTCTAATCAATTTGCCCAGGTTTCTCAATCCAATTAGTTGTCACATTATATTCTTGAACAATCCCCGGAGTGCAATAACTAGAGGAAAAAAAAAAAAAAACCTAAGACTCAGGAAGAAAGTTAAAACTTAGATTAACATGTTGGATTCCAAAATGTATCTTCAAATAAAAAACTTGCTCTTGGAGCACAAAAACCAGATGAATTTGGATGGAATAGAAAGCCTTAGATCAAAAACTGGAAACTTATGTAACATTGATCTGAAGCTTGTTACGCTTGTACGTCCAACAGACATAGCTCCAAACACCAACACATCAACTCCTTCCTAGCTCCTGCGATGTTTGGCTATGGCAGCAAGGTTCACAAAACCCAGAAGAATTTGGATGGAATAGATAGCCTTGGATTGAAAACTGGAAACTTACATAGCGTTGATCTGAGGCTGGTTACGTTTGTGCATCCACCACTCAAACACCAACACATCAACTTTTTCCTAGCTCCTGCCACGTTTGGCTGTGGCAGCAAGGTTCACCAATCATCTCTAGAAAGTATGATATGTTGCATGGCATGAATTAGACTCCACTATGAAGGGAGCCTAGTCGTACTCAATTGATGCCTAGGTTTCTTAATGCCAATCTTGTTGGATTCCAAAATGTATACTTAAATCAAAAACTTGCTCTTGCAGCAAAAAATCCAGAAGAATTTGGATGGACTAGAAAGCCTTAGATCAACAACCAAAAACTTACATAGTTCACTTGAACATCCACTAGGCATAGGTCTCAAACACCAACATACCAACTTTTTCCCAGCTTTTGCCGTGTTTGGCTATCGCATCTAGGTTTCATCAGCTGTCTCAGAAAAGTATGATCTGTTGCATGGCATGAATTAGACTCCATAATGAAGGAAGCCCAGTAGTACTCAATTGATGTATTATATATACCCCTGAAACACATTTCCAAAGCTCAGAATACCGGAGTCAAGTTTCTAAAGCAGATGCTAAACAAGAACTATCATTAACCTGTTGATGGTATATGTTGGTCACTACTTTACTGTCAGCTTTCTTTGTGGTTTCACTTTCAATTTGCAGATTACATCAATTACTTGGTAACCTGATCATGTAGGCCTCTACAAGTACCATCTTTTCACAATCTTGATTGTTCCATTAAGATTGCGCTTGAAAAATAAGTTTGGAATCCCAAAGAACTAAGAACCTGACAAAAGAAATACTAAAGAGCTAAATGTTCTGATCTCAAAAAAATTCGAACCAAAGTAATCACAGGAAGCATGCCTATTACCCTTAAGCAATTATTAGTATATGAAGGTTGCATAAAGAAGACATTCAGCCTGGACAAATTTAGCACTCCATAGGGAACTCAATCCTCGAGACTCAAGCCATTTGTAAGAGACAGGAAAATGATATTAATTTTTATCAAAAACTCTGTTTTACAAAACTATTAGCTTGAGTACCTGAAAAGCATGTTACTCTACTATTGCAAGTGAATGGTATTAATTTTGAAGGGTAATTTAAAAGAATATTACATCATTATTGCAGGTGAATGATACTAAAAGTACAAGAGATTTGGTTCCATAGTACCTGGTTCGCAAGATGTTGAGAATTGATTCCATCTCACCGC